AAACAAAGAAACGCTATATGTGCGCAGTAGCTCTTGCCAAAAGCCTAACGTGTCCTATAGATCACAGCCAGCTATTTAGGTGTCTTTGGCACTGGAATTCTAACCGTGCGCGGCTGTGCCAAGATTCACTGACATAAGTCCTGATCACTGACGTCTTCTTCTACCGACTGTCAATATCCGCCAAACAAAAATGAATCCAAGTGCACAACCCAAAATGATACCAGGAAGAAAAAAGAAACAAAAACAAAAAAAAAAAAACAGCATCGCCCATCAAAATGATACATTGTATCAAAGCTTTTTTCCAGCACACCTTGACAGATAAAGCAGCACCAGGCACATATCCACTTCTACAACGTATCTGCCACCATAAAAAAAACAACAGCCTACACTTGAAAACTACAAGTGCAAAAAAATTAAACAAATTGTTTTTAAAAAAAGAAGCACAATTTACATACTTGGGCCAGTGAAATGTCCACTTGCCAAAGAAGTTGGTCCATTTTTCCCACTGCTGACAGGAGGAGAAAACATCTGCAACAAACAGAACACAAAGAGTTTAGAAGAACTTGCCTGACCCTTCCGTCCATACAACGTACAATAGCCAATACATTAAACAAATACACAAAAAAAAAAAAAAAACTTATTTACTTCTTACTGTGTCATCGCAAACTTAACAACTGCATTTCATCGCTTTAGGTTACTTTACGTCAAATAAAACTTTAACATTAATTTAAAAAAAAAATAAAAAAAAAAAAAAAAAATTCTCTCAAACCTTAGCTATCAACGCTGAAGCGATCTCCATCTCATTAATGACAGCAGCAGCACAATGTAAACATCAAATGCCACCTGCATGAAACGACCACGTAATCCAACAGCAGAGGGAAACTCAAGTCACAATTGTGCAAAAGGGAGATTTTTTTTTTTTTTTTTAATTATTTAGATTCTAATTGGTCTCCTTTATCCAACGTGTCTAGTGCATACGCACCTTCCCTGATTCAGAGAGGCAGTGAAAAAAAAATCCAGCAAATGAAAAAGTACAGGAGAAAAGGGGGCTGCGAAGTGCCCGAGGCTACGTATCCTGTCCAAACTTCCGAAAGCCATCTCTCAGGGCAGGAAATTCATTCGGACGAGCCTACAAAAAAAAAAAAAAAAAAAAAAAAAAAAAAGGGTCCAAGAGGCCAGCCCCACGGTCATCTAAAAAGCATGCAACGTCTTTAGCGACACAAGTAACAACAGATCCACCACGGTGCAAAATTTCAAGACAACACCACCATGTATTTTTAAAAAATTAGGATTAAGAAAAAAAGTAAAAAAAAATAAATAAAAATCATAATAAATAATAATAATAACCAAAAAGATTTTTTTTTAATATAACAAAAACAAAAAGATTTAAAAAAAGAGACATGCCAAATAAAAAAAAAATTTTAAATGAATTAAAAAAAAAGTTAAATAAATAGAATAAGAGATAAGACAATGCAAAGTTAAAAAAAAAATACCATAAAAAAAGATTAAAAAAATAATTAAAATAAAAAAAGTGAGATAAGACAAACACTAAGTGAAAAAAAAAAAGTAAAAAATCGAATTGTTAAAAGTAAAGACGACATCAAGTTACAAATAAATAAATAAGTAAAAGAAGGATTAAAAAAAAAAAAAGGGATTAAAAAAAGGACAATACTCAGTTAATAAGAAAAGGGCATAAAAAAATAAAATGAAAATAATAAAAAATAAAATGAAAATAATAAAAAAATGAAAATAATAAAAATTAAAATGAAAATAATAAAAAAATGAAAATAATAAAAAAGTTAAAAAAAAAGTTAACATAAATAAATTAAAGATATATAAGAGAATGAGGCAATGGCAAGTTAAAAATAAAATCAGCATAAAAAAAGTAATTAAATTTTAAAATAAAATTAAAACTATTAAAAAAAAGACAACACAAAAAAATAGCCTTTAAAAAAAAAAAAATTATAAAAAAATAATGAATTAAAAAAAAGTTAGCATACATATAAAATTAAAAATGGTTAAAAAAAATAAGGAACTACCAAGTTAAAAAAAATAATAATAATACAAATATTAAAAATAAGACAACACCAAGTTAAAAATATAAAAAAAAAATGACACCACGTGTAAAAAAAGGAAATATCTATTAGCATAAAAAAATAAAACCAATTTAAAAAGACAACATCAAGTAAAATAGAATGAGATAAATATAAAATGAAATATTAAAAAAAAAAATAAAAATATTTAAAAAAAAAACTAGCAAAAGTGGGCATATTTACCATGGGCATCCAACTGCAACTACTCAGGTAAGAGTTTATGTTTTTATTCATTTTTTTTTTTTTTTAGCTCGGCTAAATTTTTGGATTGGGGGGGAGTTGGGGGGGGGGTCTTTACAGGCTTTTTTTTTTTTTTTTTTTTTTTTTTTTTTGGTCAATGTCCACCGTGGCTTTCTCTTACCGCACTGAAATCCAGTAAATCACTCAGCTCTTTGTCCGTCCCTAAGGCAGCCATTCGCTGTTGGGGCGGCGCTCTGGCCCCTCCTCCTTGCCCGCCCGTCACTCGTGCACGGCTCGCGGGGTGGGCGTGGCTACTTACGGCTTTGGACGGGGAGAAGAGGGAGGGGGGAGGCGCGGTGTGTGAGTGTGGCGCCGGGGCTCCGCCTCCTCAGCTCCCTCCTGCCGGTGTGATTGGTGCCAGGCTCCGGCACAAACAATAGGGGGGGAGCAAAGCGGGACAAGTCGTCCCCCCCCCCACCCACTTCTTCCAAAAAAACTTCTCAGTCAGTCGGAGGAGATGTCAGGGGCTCCGGTCGGCACCTCCAGCGGCAGCAGCAGGGACAGTAGTAGCAGTGCAGGACAGCAGCGGAGAGAGCAGTGTGTGAGCTTCCCCTGGCTCGGTGTGTGCTGGAGGCAGGCATCGGCTAGCTGTGAGGCTGGGAGTGGAGGAGGAGGATGAGGAGGAGGTGGGAGTGGAGGAAAAGAAGAGGGGGGGGGATACAGAAGAGATTCAACTCACCCCCCCTTCTTCTCTTCTCTCCGCGCTACCACCACCTCAGAGACTACGAAAGCCCCCAACGCCGCTTACCGCTCGTCACCGATCCCCCCCCATACCCTTCGCTCAACGTATCGTCACCGCTCTGCCGTTAGTTTGGGATCTTCCAATGCCGGCACTACGATCTCTTCCCTATTAACACTGGCAACAAGTCCCATCTTTTATGGGATCACCATTGACCCACCATGAGCAGTCCTACTTCCCTTCGTTCTACCTCTGGAATGTTCATGTTTCTACAAATACCGGCATTACGGTCCCTTCCCTATTAATAACATTGGCAACAAGTCCCATCTTTTTTATACCGGCCAGGTGACCCACCATGAGCAGTCCTACTTCCCTTCGTTCTACCTCTGGAAGGTTCATGTTTCTACAAATACCGGCATTACGGTCCCTTCCCTATTAACATTGGCAACAAGTCCCATCTTTTATACCAGTAAGGTGGCAACCTTAGAGACACAGGACTATGACCTCCTGGTTGATGCTCATCATTGACCCACCATGAGCAGAGTCCTACTTCCCTTCGTTCTGCCTCTGGAATGTTCACGTTTCTACAAATACCGGCATTACATTCCCTTCCCTATTAACACTGGCAACAAGTCCCATCTATTTATATTGGCCAGGTGCAAGCTCACCATTGACCTACCATGAGCAGAGTCCTACTTCCCTTCGTTCTACCTCTAGTTTGGGATGGTCACGTTTCTACAAATACGGCCTTACAGTCCCTTTCTTATTAATAACACTGGCAACAAGTCCCATCTATTTATACCAGCCAGGTGGCAAGCTCGGACACACACAACTATGACCTCCTGGTTGATGGTCATCATTGTCCCACCATGAGCAGAGTCCTACTTCCCTTCGTTCTACCTCTTGTTTGAGATGGTCACGTTTCTACAAAGACCAGCCTTACAGTCCCTTTCTTATTAATAACACTGGCAACAAGTCCCATCTATTTATACCAGCCAGGTGGCAAACTCGGACACACACAACTATGACCTCCTGGTTGATGGTCATCATTGTCCCACTATGAGCAGAGTCCTACTTCCGATAGTTCTACCTCTGGTTTGGGATGTTCAAGTTTCTACAAATACCGGCCTTATGGTCCCTTCCCTATTATTAACACTGGCAACAAGTCCCATCTTTTATACCGGCTAGGTGATCACCATTGACCAACCATGAGCAGTCCTATTTCCCTTCGTTCTGCCTCTGGAATGTTCACATTTCTACAAATACCGGCATTACGGTCCCTTCCCTATTAACACTGGCAACAAGTCCCATCAATTTATACCAGCCAGGTGGCAACCTCAGACACACAGAACTATTACCTGGTTGATGGTCATCATTGTCCCACCATGAGCAGAGCCCTACTTCCGTTAGTTCTACCTCTGGTTTGGGATGTTCAGGTTTCTACAAATACCGGCCTTATGGTCTCTTCCCTATTATTAACATTGGCAACAAGTCCCATCTTTTATACCGGCCAAGTGATCATCATTGACCCACCATGAGCAGAGCCCTACTTCCCTTCATTCTACCTCTGGTTTGGGATGTTCACGTTTCTACAAATACTGGCCTTATGGTCCCTTCCCTATTATTAACACTGGCAACAAGTCCCATCTATACCAGCCAGGTGGGGACCTCAGACACACAGAACTATGACCTCCTGGTTGATGGTCATCATTGTCCCACCATGAGCAGAGACCTACTTCCCTTTGTTCTACCTCTAGTTTGGGATGGTCACGTTTCTACAAAGACCGACCTTACAGTCACTTTCTTATTAATATAACATTGACAACAAGTCACAAGTGGAGCTGTCTTTCAGTGGTATTTGATCGCCTCTGCGTTTTTTATTTTGAGATATTTGGAGATAAAAAACAATATTTTTGACTTTTTGCCATTTAAACATGTCCAGTAAAAAAATTTTAAAAATCAAATTTTGTCCTAAACTTAGGCCAAAATGTATTCTGCTCCGTCTTTACTAAAAAAAATCCCAATACGTGTAAATTAATTGGTTTATGTAAAAGTTATAGCGTTTACAAATGGCGGTATAGATACTGGAATTTGTTTTTTTAATACTAGTAATGGCGGCGATCAGCAACTTATTCCGGGGCTGAGGTGGGCATTCTGACACTGGCTCGGTGGACAGGGGGGGGGGGGGGACTGACTTGGTGTCACTGACATTCCCAGTGACACCAATACAGTGATCAATGCTAATAAAAAAGCACTGGCACTGTACTAATGACACTGGGCAGGAAGGGGTTAACATCTGGGGCGATCAAAGGGTTAACTGTTTGCTGTGTTTTAATGTGTAAGCACGCTGCTTTGTATGGCTCCGCTATGCAGAGCCATACAAAGCAGTGTGCTGGTGCTGACAGGGGAGAGATCTGTATTGTTTACATACAGACCTCTCCCCCGTCAGTGTTCCTTGGCGATCGCCAAGTGCCAGCGGGGGAATCTCCGGCCCGGACCTGGTGATTGACAGCTGAAGCCGCCAATGGCGGCGCTTGCATGCCCCCTACCCGGAAATACAAAAACATGTATCAAAATATATATATATATACACACGTTGATTTTGCTCAGACCTGCCGCCCTGTAGCAGTAGTTCTGCTATAGGGGCGGTCGGGGAGCGGTTAAAGGAAATTTGCATTGTCAGGTCTAAAGCATTCTTAAAACTGCTGCTCTCCTCCAAACAGAATTTTTACAAAATATTTTTTGCTTTGATACATGTTTGCCAGGGCATAGCCCAGCCTCCTCCCCTATGATTACAATGATCAGTATTTATTTATTAATGTAAAACCTTTATACCAAAAGAAAAAAAAAAACTGCTGCAACTGCTCCATTGTGAGCTGGGGTTCTACTTCAATTTGTTAGTGTATTCAAAACTGCTAGTACATCTAACACTCCTTCCCCCTCAGACTAACAAGGTACCCCCTGTGCTTGTTCATCCAGAGATGTCTCACTAATATAGGAGGTGCGTTGCTGGCCAGATCACCAGGTGAAAACAGAGGGGGAAAACGTAAAAAAAAAAAAAAAAAAAACAAATGCAGCAACCACATCTAATGATTGATAACCTGCAACATATTACATTTTTGATTTGGGTTCAATACCACTTTAATTCTGTTTATTCTGATTCCTAAATGTAAAAAAAGCATACAAGAAAAGCTTAATTACGCATGTCGATGCACAAAGAAAACGCAGGACAAGGCAGCTGCCCGACCCCACAACAAACTCATTTCTACACTCTGGCAGAGATCTAAATGGGCCCCTAATTGTACTAACAGTTCATTTTTCAGGAAAATCTTTCTGGACCTCTACTTCCTAAAGTGGATCTTCACTCTCTCAATCAACATGGACTATTTTGAATCCCTATGCTGCTAGCATTAGTAAATAAATGTATATATATATATAGGAATGTATATATATAAAATTTTATAAATTTTTTTGTAAACTGTTTAGTTTTAAATTTCTTAGTGTATTCCTGGTTTCTGGCCTAGGCAAATTATGTCATACATCCCAGGAGTCTTCAGGAGGGAAGGAGGGGTTTTCTCAGCCTGCATGCCTGAGCTAAGGGCAGATGGGGTCCAGATAGACTCCAGGAAGTAACTGTTACATGCATAATCTGCCCTTACTAAAGATGGCCACAGCCAGAAATGCTAAGGGGTTGTTTTTCTAAGTGATTGCTCAGCAAAATAAAGCATGGAGACATGGATGGATGGTAGGGGGGGGGGGGGGGGGGGGGGAGTTAGCTTTGAATAATAAAAATAAATAACATAGCACTTTTGGTTTGTGGTGCTCAGATACAGTGTAGTTCTACTTTAACCACTTGTCCTCCTGAGGATTTCCCCCCCTTCCTGACCAGGCCATTTTTTGTGTTACGGCGCTGTGTTACTTTAACCAACAATTGCGCGGTCATGCAACGCTGCACCCAAATTAAATGTACGTCCTTTTTTTTCCCACAAATAGAACTTTATTTCGGTGGTATTTGATCGCCTGTGCAGTTTTATTTTTTGCGCTAAAAAAAAAGCCGACAATTTGGAGAAAAAAAATATATATTTTTGACTTTTTGCTATTAAACATATCCAGTAAAAAAATTGAAAAAATCAATTTTTGTCATAAATTTAGGCCAAAATGTATTCTGCTACATGTCTTTGCTAAAAAAAATCCCAATATGTGTAAATTATTTGGGTTACGTGAAGGTTATAGCGTCTACAAATGGCGGTATAGATACTGGAATTTTTTTTTTGTACTAGTAATGGTGGCGATCAGTGACTTATAGTGGGATTGCGGTGGGCATTCTGACACTGGGAGGAACTGACAGTGTCACTGGCATCCCCAGTGATACCAATGCAGTGATCAGTGCTAATAAAAAGTACTGATACTGGGCAGAAAAGGTTAACATGTGGGGCGATCAAAGGGTTAACTGTGTGCTGTTTTACTATGTGTGCTGTATCTGTGCTTTCAACTGTAAGCACACTGCTTTGTATGGCTCTGCTATGCAGAGCCATACAGAGCAGTGTGCAGGAGCTAACAGTGGAGAGAACTGTATTGTTTACATACAGGTCTCTCCCCCGTCAGAAATACTCGGCGATCACGGGGGCCGTGGATTAATCATCAGCCAGGACCTGGTGATTGACAGCCTCCTTCTGGCACTGCAGCTCTCCTGGATTGGGACTGCCGTATTGCCCCTGTGCAGTTTATCTTCCCCCCTCTCTTTCCAGCAAATAACATGGGTAGGGGGCAGATAAGCAAACACTGCATGGTGGCATCTCTAGTGAAGGACCCCAACGCAGCATCCTGCAATCCTGCTGTCAAATAATGCTCATACATTTGGGGGGGGTGGGAGGAGTTGATTTTTTTTTTACTGACAAATAATGCTCATACATTTGGGGGGGGGGGGGATTTTTGCTGCCAAATAAAGCTCATACATTTTTTGGGGGGGGGGGGGGGGGGTTTTGCTGACAAATAATGCTCATACATTTGTGGGGGGGTGATTTTTGCTGACAAATAATGCTCATACACTTTTTTCTTGGGGGGGGGGGGGGAGAGGTGTTTTTTGCTGACAAATAATGCTCATACTTTTTTTTTTTTGGGGGGGGGGTGTGATTTTTTGACAAATACTGATCATACATGATTTTTGCTGACAAATATGCTCATACATTTGGGGGGGGGGGTGATTTTTGCTGACAAATACTGCTCATACATTTTTTTTGGGGGGAGGGATTTTTTGCTGACAAATACTGCTCATACATTTTGGGGGGGGGGGTGATTTTTGCTGACAAATAATGCTCATACACTTTTTTTTGGGGGGGGGGAGTGTTTTTTGCTGACAAATAATGCTCATACTTTTTTTTGGGGGGGGGGTGATTTTTGCTGACAAATTACTGCTCATACATTTGGGGGGGGGGGGGGTGATCTTTGCTGACGTTACAAAATAATGCTCATACATTTTGGGTGGTGGGGGGTGATCTTTGCTGACAAATAATGCTCATACATTTGGGGGGGGGGGACAAATTTGATTTTTGCTGACAATGCTTATACATTTTTTTTGGGGGGGGGGGGGGGGGGGAGGAGGTGATTTTTGCTGACAAATACTGCTCATACATTTTGGGGGGGGGGGGGCACCGTTTGCCATCTTCGCCCTGAGCTTTAGACGATCTTGTCCCGCTACTGGTAATGAGAATATTCATACGAGCGTTCGTTCAAAAATCTACTTTTGCATGGTCAGCTTTAGTTCTGAACTCTATCTGATGCAGGACTACAAGTCCCAGCATGCCGTGCCGGAGATCGGATCCACTTGGCTCCCGTTTCTAGGAAGCTGCTTCTTTAACTCTTTCCCCATCTCCGGAGCAGTTTAGTTTTGTATTTCTATTATGTAAAGACGTCAGACTTCTTCATTGACCCACACGGCCTGACGCAGCTCACAGTCTTTTCTCTATGGGTCACGTGACCAAGCCCTCAGGAAAAAAAAGAAAAGTCTGTGTATATAATACAGACTCACTCCCACCCAGCCATTCCCCCCTCGGACTGGGAGGAAGTCGGCTCAGGAGGGAAAAAACAGCCGACACCTGCAGCAAATAAATCCTTTACTACAAGGCTGCTGGCTTAACCCGCTCGCTGCCAGCGTCTCCGGCGACTTTCTACACCGTTCTCTGCTTTCTTTTTTTATAGATTGAGCCCGGGTTCACGATGATGCGGTGCAGAATTTGCAGCGTTTTCTGTGCGAATTCCACACCGCATCAGAATCGCACCCCGTTCATGCGAACCGCTGCGGTGTGTATGTTAACCACTTCAAGTCCGGACACTTTCACCCCCTTCCTGTCCAGGCCAATGTTCAGCTTTCAGTACTATCACACTTTGAATGACAATTGCGCGGTCATGCAACACTGTACCCATATGAATTTTTTACCATTTTTTTGAGACATAAAACTTTATTTTGGTGGTATTTATTCACCACTGGAGGTTTTTTTTTTTTTTTTTGCTATATAAATGAAAAAGTCCAAAAATTTTGAAAAAAAGTGTTTTTCTTATAAAATTTTGCAAATAAATAAACTTTCTTCATAATGATTGGTCCCAGCTTGTCACATATTTATATTTTATTCTATTTTTTACTATTTTTTACAATGTAATTTACTCTTTATAATGTCATTTGCATGTACTATTACCAATATGTTTATCATCCTACCATGTTAACACCCATTGTCAATATACCCGCTAGCAACATGTATAGATGTTATAATTATTATGAGCCATATCCCACCTTGCAATCATGCTGTATTACCACTAAATATCTGCTCACTACTGTTACATAATTGATGTGCCAGTGCTGCAAGGTGAACCTTTTACCCCACTAATCTCCCAGAATATAATTTTTTTTTTTTTTTAGCTCTGTTTCCTTTTTTATTCTGTATTCTTATTACCCCATCAACTATTTTCACATAGCTTCTTCAATTTTCAGCTGTTCAAAAATCTTTTATTAACCTCCCTAACGGTATTCCCGAGTGTAGCTCGGGGTAAAATGTCTATACCAAAAGCGGTAACCCCGAGCTACACTCGGGCTTACCATGCGGCGCTGCATAGGGAGTCCCTGCAGCACTTACCTTGTCCTTGGCTCCCACGATGTGTCCCCTGCAGCGT